TAGTAGTAGTGGTAGTAGTACAACCCGCTGGATTAAAAAAGTTGGGACGGCGGGGTTCGCGAGAGAGAGAGAGAGACGCTGTTGGCCACCCGTTAGGCCATGGGGCCCAGGACAATGTTGGATTTGATGCCGACTTGGGACCTTCAGACGCATACCTCACCCCCTTTAATATTATAAAGGCTAAATGGGGCCGGCGTCTGAAAGTGGCATTCCGCCCAAGACGTCCTCAAAAAAGTTTCAGATCGCCTTCCAGGGCGATCTGACATTCTCCCATGCCGTCTGAAAGTGGCGATTTCGCCTAGGACGTCCTCACAAAATGTTTCAGATCGATGTTCATGCCGCCAGAGAGTGGTCGTTTCGCTTAAGACGTCCTCAAACAGCACTTTCAGGTTGCCTTCCATGCCGCCAGCAGATAAAGATTTCGTGTGCGATGATTTCCATAACTTTGTGCTGCAGAGCCCCACGCCCTGCGGAGCCGTTCCGTCATTCGGTTCACGGGCCTGCCTTGGAGTCATCTCGGGTTTCATCGATGGTGGAGGCTCGAGGGCCAGTCGACCGGCGAAACCCGCGGGGATCGCTCTGTCGCATAGTGCCGGTCACAACTTTTTAATCCAGTGGGTGGTAGGTAGTGTAGTAGTGTAGTAGTAGTAGTGTAGTAGTAGTAGTGTAGTAGTAGTAGTAGTCGTAGTAGTTGTTTAGTAGAGTTAGTCGTTAGTAGTAGTAGTAGTAGTAGTAGTAGTAGTAGTTAGTAGTAGTAGTCGTCCGTTAGTAGTTTCGAGTGAATAGTAGTAGAGCCGCAGCAGTAGTAGTAGTTAGTTAGTCGTAGTCGTAGTTCGTGTAGTTAGTAGTAGTAGTAGTAGTAGTAGTAGTAGTCGTAGTAGTAGTAGCAGTCGTAGTAGTAGTAGTAGTAGTAGTAGTAGTAGTAGTAGTAGTAGTAGTGGTAGAAGTAGTGGTAGTAGTAGTAGTAGTAGTAGTAGTAGTCGTAGTAGTCGTAGTAGTAGTAGTAGTAGTAGTAGTAGTAGTAGTAGTAGTAGTAGTAGTAGTAGTAGTAGTAGTAGTAGTAGTAGTAGTAGTAGTAGCCCTGAGTCGCCGAAAGATCGTTCCAAGACGCCCAAGATGGCCTCCAGACGGCCGTAGCGCCAAGAAACCGCGGGGAGCCTCAGGAGGCCCTCCAACAGCCTGAACAAGCCAAAACCTCCCAGTCATTCGTCACCCCAGGGCCTCCTGGAACGCCCCGGCGCCCAATGAATTGGCGAGCTAAAAACGTGCGCCGAGCCAAAGCGGGAGCGCAACTCCGAGAAAATTTCGCTCGGCGCCCAAGCGAGAAGGTCATTTCATTCACTTCAAGCGGGGGGAGAGGGGGGCATGCCGCGCCCAATTCTTGCCATGCACTTTTGCGGGGTGGACGACAAGAACAGCTACTTGGGCAGGGATAATCAGCATGGCATTGTTTCTGACAAGTAAGGTGGCCCCTCCCGCCTTGGGGTTGCCCCAGAAGTCCGCGCGCGATGTGCGCCGCGCCCCATTCCTGCCACGCATTTCGCATCGTCAACGACAAGACAGGCCATGATGAAAGGAAAAACGGCAACTCTGTATTGTTCTTTGCAGTCAGGATGGGAGGGCCCGCAGCCCGCATGGACGTCCGCGCGCGATGTGCGCCGCGTCCCATTCCTGCCACATTTTCGCACCATCGGCGACAAGGCAGGCCATGCTTAGAGGAAAAAACGGAGACTTTGTTTTGTTGTTTACAGTCAGGATGGGCGGGCCCGGATTGACGGCCGCGCGCGATGTGCGCCGCGTCCCATATGTGCGCCGCGTCCCATTGCTGCCACACATTTCGCACCGTCGGCGATAAGGCAAGCCATGCTGAGAGGAAAAAACGGAGACCTTGTATTGATTTCGCGCGATGTGCGCCGCGTCCCATTCCTGCCACGCTTTTCGCAGCGTCGACGACAAGAAAGACGATGTTGAGAAGGAAAACGGCCACTTTGTATTGATCTTTTACAGTCCGGATGGGAGGTCCCGGATTGGGTCGCTATCGGCCGGAATACGAGGTAGGTGGGGGTATATAATAATAAGGAACAAGGATTAAGGTTAGGAGGAGGAGGAGGAGGAGGAAAGGAAGAGGGTTACGAGGAGGAGGAGGAGGAGGAGGAGGAGGAGGAGGAGAAGGAGGAGGAGGAGGAGGAGGAGGAGGAGGAGGAGTAGGAGGATGAGGAGAGCGGAGGAGGAGGAGGAGGAGGAGGAGGAGGAGGAGGAGGAGGAGGAGGAGGAGGAGGAGGAGGAGGAGGGAGGAGGAGGAGGAGGAGGAGGAGGAAGGAGGAGGGAGGAGGAGAGCGGAGGAGGAGGAGGAGAGGAGGAGGAGGAGGAGGAGGAGAGAGCGAGCGGAGGAGGAGGAGGAGGAGAAGGAGGAGGAGGAGGAGGAGGAGGAGGGAGGAGGAGGAGGAGGAGGAGGAGGAGGAGGAGGAGGAGGAGGAGGAGGAGGAGGAGGAGGTAGGAGGAGGAGGGAGGAGCGGAGGAGGAGGAGGAGGAGGAGGAGGAGGAGGGGAGGAGGAGGAGGAGGAGGAGAGGAGGGGAGGAGGAGGAGGAGGAGGAGGGGAGGAGGAGGAGGAGGAGGAGTCCACCCCTGAAGGGGCCCGGGGGAGCGATGCCAGGTGGGCCCTGGGCGGGGCGGGAAGGCCGCCGTTGCCTCGGCTGGCCTTCCGCCGGTGGGACTGGAACTTCGTGCCTGCGCGCTGCCAGCGAGAGCAAGTGACGCAGGGCGGCGAGACCTGCACGCCTCCACTGCTCCTGGCCAGGCCCATCCTGGGCCCAGGGGCCGTGTAATCAGATGCCGCCTTGGCCAAGCCAGAGGGGGCGCGCGCACAACTCCTGGGCCCAGGACGGGCCTGGCCAGGAGCGGCGGACGCGTGCAGGTCTCGTCGCCCCGTGATGCCGCGAAGCTGCCGAGAAGCTCGGCCGCGCAGCGTCAAAGTTCTGAGGCGGTGCCGTGGCGCGCGCTAGCACGGTCGAGAGACTCGTGGCTCGTCTGGGCAACAGACCGACCTGCCGAGCAGGTATGGACACTCAGAAGACGAAATACATATATGTACGTAGAGAAAGAGGGATATATATGTATATATATATATATATATAGAGAGAGAGAGAGAGAGAGAGAGAGAGAGAGAGAGAGAGAAGGAGAGAGAGAGAGAGAAGAGAGAGAGAGGATGAGGGGAGACAGAGGGAGAAGGAGAGAGAGAGGAGAGAGAGAGAGAGAGGGAGAGATAAGGATAAGGAGGAGAGAAAGCGAGAAGGAAGAGAGAGAGAGATAGAGAGAGAGAGAGATGAGAGAGAGAGAGAGAGAGAAGAGAGAGAGAGAGAGAGAAAGAGAGAGAGAGAGAGAGAGAGAGAAAGAGAGATAATGAGAGGGAGAGACAGAGAGAGGGAGAGAAAGAGAGAGAGAGAGAGAGAGAGAGAACGAGAGAGAGAGAGAGGGAGAGAGAGAGAGAGAGAGAGAGAAGGCGAGGGAGACGAAGAGGGACAGAAATGGGAGAGGGCGAGAGAGAGGGAGAGAGAGAGAGAACGACAAACACGCGGATGCACGAACACACGGGTGGGTGGACCAGGGCGCAGCAGGAGCGAAACCAACCGGAGAACCTTCTCCTCGACCTCGTCCTCTTCATCCGTCGTTTCCACTCTCCCTGCCTCTTCCGTCCTCCCCCTGCCTTTCTCCACCATGCTTAAGTCGGGCGTGTCCCCCTACAGGGGGATTTTGGGCGACAAATTCAAAATACCCCCAAGATTCTCCCAAATAGTCAAACGATGGTGGAAAAATAGTCCCGAAACTATTTTTTGACTATTCTTGACTATTTTTGAATATTCCTCCTGTAGAGGGACAGGCCCGACTGAACACCATGCCCTCTGGTCTCCCCTGGCCTGCAGCAAGCGGCAGCATCGCCTGCTCGCGCTCAGCGTGCCCAGATCTTCCGTGCGCGGTCGGCACAAAAAAGCAGACGGTCCCAAGCCTCCTGACGTGCAGACTCTTATCGAAACCATCACTGCTAATGCGATGGGCTCGGCCTGGTCGAAGGGAGGGCGAGGGGGAGGAGGGGAATCCGGCGAATCATGAACGATGGGGGTAGGAACAAGGAAGGAAGGTAGGCGGTCGAGATCGAACACGATAGCACTTCTATAGCAGAGGAACAGCAAAAACTGCACGAGCGTAAATCCTCGAAGGTGTGCGTGCATTTCTTGGATCGGCGCAGCGCGCCAGGGGCGGCGCCGAAGAGCCCAGCGCCGATCCTAGAAATCCGCGCGAACCTCCGGGAAATCATGTCCACGGTCAGGAACTCTTGCACGGCGTGTCGCCGCGGCGGCCCCGGCGGCACGTCATGCCCTGCGAGCGGATGGCGTGTCGCTCCGCTCCGCGGTGCGGGAGGCTCGGAGAAGCTGGGGAGGCTGACGCCTGGGGAGCGCGAGGTGGACGGCGTCTCGCACCGAGGTGCAATGGGCCAGGATCGGCATGGCGACACGCTGCCCAAAAATTCCCGACCGTATGCCGGCGTTTGTGCTTCGAGCTAACGAGCGGGCGCCTCCAGCTGCCAACTGCCGCCACGGATCGGGGGCCGCGCCTCCAACGCAACCCCTCTTCCTCCGCGGCAGGGCAGGGGTTGTCCTAAACGACAAAAAGCTCGCCCACCCCCCAGGGCGCGCGGATGCATGCCCGACTGACAATGACACGCCACGAAACAGCCGACGGCCGCTGCAAAGCAGGAGGCGCGCCCTTGGAGCGTCCGCCAGAGCAAATTCAGCAGGCCGTCGCTTCGAGCGGAAGCCTGGCAAGAGGCCAGGACCGCCGATGCGGAACCTCCGCGATGCACGGCCAGGAACTATCCCACTGCCTGCGGCCACGCGAGCAACGCGCTCCTGCAGAGGCCCGAGCTCCTGGTCCGGAGGCTTCTCGGGAGGCTGGGCCACCGCCTTCAGACGGCTGCGATTGCCGACCCCCCCTTCCTCGGCCTCCTTCTTCCTAGCACCGAGCATGCTAGCGTCTCCCCTCTACTTCCGCCGAGCTTCCACCGGCTGCCGCAGACCCAGGCCCGGCTGCTGTCTTGCGCCCGTTGGCTTTTGTCAGCTTCCGCTGAGGGCGAGGGCGCGCCGCAGGTGGCGCTCCACCAGAATTTACCCCCACCGCACTTTTTTCAGTCAGCGGCGCGGAGGGTTCTCGAGCGCGGGCAGCAGATGGAAGTGCTAATTGCGAGTGGGCTTTTTCGAAGGCACAGTGCACGAGACGTCGCACACCGTAGAGTGCAAAAGCGATGGGTGGTGTGCTAGAGGGACTGCAAGCCCAAACGTGGACATGCGTCGGCCAAAGAACTGAGGATCCCCCCCTATACACACATACACCCCACGCCGCCCCCCCTCCCTCTCCGTGTCCTGGCCCCCCCCACCTGGGGGCGCACCCAGCCGCGGCGCTCAGCGCGGAGGCGCGGCCCTCAACAAGACAGGGCAGTTGCCGCCGGCGCAGCCGGGGCCCGAGGCCCCTCTCTGCCTGCAGTTGCCCCCCGTGCACGACGGCCGCACGGCGTCACGCTGGTCGCAGCTGCCAGCCGCACACGTCGGCTCGAAGGAGCCGCGCTGGTCGCAGCCGCCGCCGTCGCAGCTGGGCCTGAGGCACCTCCTCTGCCCGCAGTCGCCGGCGTCACACTTTCCCCACACGCACACCTCGTAACCCTCGGGCGGCGTGGCAGGGGTCGGCCGTGGCGCCGGCCGCGGGGCAGGGCCTGGCTTCGGACGGCCTGCCGATGTGCGCTCGGCGGGGGCTGGGCTCGGCGTCGGGCCTGGCGTCAGGCTTCGCGTCGGGCTCTGTCTCGAGTGCGGGGTAGGGGTAGGGTTGGGCGTCGGGTCCGGCGTCGGGCTCTGCGTCGGCCTCTGCGCCGAGCCCAGCGTTGGGCTCTGCGTCGGGTCCTGCGCTGTACTCTGTCTCGGATGTGGGGTGTGGCTCGGCGTCGGGCTTTGCCTCGTGCTCTGCGTCGGGTGCGGAGTGGCGCTCTGCGTCGGGCCCGGCGTCGGATTCAGAGTCGGACTCTGTGTCGGATGCGGAGTGGGGCTTGGCGTCGGAGCTGGCGTCGTGCTCTCCGTGGAGCTTTGCGTTGGGCTCTGCGCTGGGCTCAGCGCCGCGACGTCTGCCGTCGGGCTCGGTGTCGGGCGCTGCGGCGTCTGGCGCGGCGCTGGGCTCCGTCTCGGATGCTGAGTGGGGTTCGGCTTCGGGCTGTGCGTCGGGCTCCGCGTCGGCCCCTGCGCCGGGCCCGGCGTCGAGATCGGCGTCGGCTGCGGAGTAGCATTCGGCGTCGGACCCAGCGTCGGCTGCGAAGTGGGGCTTGGCGTCGGGCCCAGCGTCGGCGCGGCCGCGTGCATCAACTTCCACCAGCCGCCGTCTGAGAACTCTACGTTCTCGTCCTGCTGAACAGCCCCCGAAGCCCAGCCCGCCACGTTCACCGTGCTCCCCGACAGCACGCCGGTGGTGTTGCTGCCCTTGTACAGGAACCAGATCTGGCACCGCTCCTGGTGGACGTGGAGTGACTGGCCCCAGTTGTCTTCGTACCTGTGATCCCCGATCTCCACGCAGGCCTTGGCGCTGAGCCCCACGACGACCACGCCGCCGCTGGGCGCGCCCTGCGCTGACAGGGCGCGCCCGATGTTGCCGGTGACATTCGCGAGACTCTCGCGATCGAGCGCAGACGCCATGAGGTCCGCGTCCCGCTGGCGGGACCCGGGCCCGAAGCGGACCGCGAACTGCGCCGTCCACAGGCGGGGCCCGGGCGCTCCCTGCCGCAGCCGGCGGCCCGCGAGGGCCACAGAGGCGCCACCGCGGGCTGGCTGCGCCGCTGCCGCCAGCAGGCGCACGTCGACGAGGCCAGGGTCCGCTCCGACGAGGGCCGCGAGCCCTGCGCGAAGGGCCGCGGCGCCGGGCGCGGGCGCGCGCGCGGAGAGCCGCAGGATGCCCGACACCTCCGGCGCGCCCGGCGCAGCGGCGGCCTGCCTGCCCGCGCCGAGGGGCGCCTCGCCGCCTCGCATAGGCCCTGCGGCTGAGGTGGCCGCCCAGGCGACCAGCAGCAGGACGGCCGCGGCGGCGGCGGACAGGACCGCGCTGCGGCTGCGGGGCGTCGCCGGAGGGGCGCCCGGCAGCGGGGCTGGCGCGCCCGGGGGGCTGGGCTGCGGGCCGAGGGCCTCGTCGGGCGGCGCGTCCCCAGCGCTGCTTCCACTTCGCGGCGGCAGCCTCGGCTCCGCAGGCGGCTGCGCCAGGAGCGGCGTGGAGGGCTCATCGGGCCACAGGTGCCTGACCGCCCGCTCCCTCGTGCCGCGCCTGCACAGCACGTGCCACTCGTTCTGCCTCTGCGAGAAGACGGCCAGGCAATCCTCGCGGCACTCGAGCCCGCCCGGGCCGTGCCGGTTCAGCTGCTCCGCCGCGAGCCGCACCGAGGCCACCCTGCCTTCCTCAACAAACGCCACCCTGCCCTTGAACCTCTCGGTGTCCCCTGCGCCGCAGAGGCGGAAACTGTCCGCCGCATCCCACTGCGGTGTGCCCGCCCGCGCCTGCAGTGCTGGGCTGGCGTGGCCCGCCAGCGCCTCGCGGGCGGCGCCGCCCGCACGCGGTCCTGCGTCGGGAGCTGGCCCTGACGCCTGCTGCGCTGGGTCGACGGCCTGTTGCGCTGGTGATCGATCGAGCTCCTGGTCGAGGCGCCCCGAGGACTCCGAAGATGCCTTCTCTGTCTCTGACTTACCTGGGTCCTCGCGGTCTCCACCAGCATCCGTGGACTGACGCGACAGGATGGCCCCCAGCTTGAGGGTCGCGGGGGTCGGCTCGCCGCCGCAGCTGCTGCCGTCGGGGCGCGGCGAGGCAGGTGGACTGGCAGCGGGCGTGGCGAGGCTGTACAGTAACGGCGTAGCTCCAGAGGCAGTGACGTGGGTGGTGGGCGGGCGCCCCGTTGATGCGATCCCTGGCGTGCTCCAGCCGCTGGCGGCGACGTCGGCGACGATTTCCAGGGCGCTCTGGCCTTCGGCGAGGACCCCGGCGCCCGGGCGCGGCGTGCTGATGTCGAAGATCTTGGGCCTCCGAAGCGGCGGCCGACGAGCGTCCGAGGGCCCATCCTGCCCCCCTGGCCTCGGCCCCGAGCTCTCGTGCAGGGAGGCTGCCGATGTGCTCGCGCTCGAAGCAGCGACCGGGCCAGCCGACGGGAAGCCGAGGCCCGTGGCAGCGAGCCCCAGGGACGCGATCTTCGGCACGCTCCAGCCGCCGGCGGTGGCCCCGTCGCCCCCCTGCGGCGCGCCCTGGCCGCTCGCGACGACGAAGGCGGGGGGGTGCAGCTGCGCGCCCGAAGCGGCGGCGTAGGCGGCGGCGGCGCGCCCCGGGGACACGAGGATCCCCTGCTCGGGAGGCGTGGGCGGCGGCGACGTGGCTGGCGTGCCCCAGCAGCCGTGGAGGAGCCCGAGCACGGGCACATGCAGGACTCCTCGGAGGCCCGCGCGGGTGTCTCGGCTCGGCGCTGGATCCTCCCCCCCCCGCTGGCCGCGCGGAGCGCGCCAGGGGAGGCGCCAGAGGCGCCGCCTTTGGGGGGCCCCAGCGCCGATCCAAGAAAACCGCGCGGCCCGCCGAGAAGTGATGCCCGTACCGCGTTCTGCTCCCCGATGCCAGCGACATCGGGGGCGGCGCCCTGGCGCAGGGGGCTGTGCGCCGCAGGCGCCCGCGGCGCTGCCCACGTGTGCCTGCCCACGAGCGGCGAACATGTCCGCAACCTCGCCCTCGCGGTCTGGATTCAGGGGCGCCATCCCGCGGATGCGCGGTCGCACGGATGCGTTCCGCGCGGGGGCCTCCGCGAATCAAAACGCCCCGTATCCGCGGGGTCGCGGCCCAGAGGCCCGGCCTGCGAGGCCGCGGGCACGGATGCGTCTTTCTCGAGGGGGCCCAAGGGCACACCCATCAACACACACACACACACGAACCCCAGGATCCTCTAGATCTCTGATATTTTTTCTGGATTTTCGGCTTTCCCCCCCCCCCCCCCCCCACACTTCCTGTATTTTCCCATGTTTGCCGGGGAGTTGACGCTTCATGGTGTCCGTGTGTTCTTTGCCCTGCAGATTTCCGCCCGCGGCCTGCGGGCCGCCGGGGCGGCCGCTGCCCCGCTGCTCTGGCGCGGCTCGCGCTCGCAGGGCTCGGGGCGCATCCGGGGCGCGGGCGGGCCGGAGGCCGTGAGGCTCCACATCCGAGCTGCTCCAGTCGAGGGGGGCGGCGCGCCCGGCGCCGGGAAGCCGAGGCGCAAAAAGGGGCATAATCATTCCAGGAAGCTGGAAACGTATGTTTGAGTCGGGCATGTCCCCCTAGAGGGCGGTCTTGGACGACAAACGAAAAATACCAAAACATATCCCCAAATGGTCAAACATAGTCAAAACATCGTCCCCTGATTGTTGTTTGATTATCTTTGAATCTTCCCCCTGTAGAGGGACAGGCCCGACTGAAACGTATGTGGCTGGATTCACATGTGAAACATCTGGGGGCCACTTGCTGGCTGCACCGTGCTTGGCCACGCGAGCGCCGAGCGCTGGCAAGACATGTGGCCGCGTTCGTGTCCAGCTCTCGCCCAGGCCAGCTGCGGCATTTGCATCCAGCGTCCTTGTCGTTTCTCGGAGGTCCGCGCGGACCTCTGCGAAGTCATGTTGATGCACTTCTTGTTCCTCGACCAAAGACCTGGCGCCTTCGCTGGTCTCTGCCAGGGCCCTCGCGACGTCGGTGCGAACAGCTGCCTCCTACAGGAGGCAGAAGGGGTCTCGCGAGAGATGTCGACGCAGCAGCCCTCGGTGCCGCTGGCGTCCCAGCCCGATTGTCCTGAACCACAAGGCTGCGGAAGGAGGGGAAGGAAGGGACGGACGCAGTGCGGGGCCAGGGAGCGGCCTTCCAGGCTCTTGTTCACCCCCAGAGCTATCGTCGGGATTTTTTGTTTTTGTTGGTCTTGGGAATGAGGCATCAAGATGGTCTCATCGTGCGCCCATCACGGGGGCACGGGGGGGTCGATCCCTGGATCATGGGTCATGGGGCCCACGAGGGAAGCCGTCAGAACGAGGTGTGTGGCACCCTCCAGCTCTCGCAGCGCAGGGAGATTGCCGATCCCTGCCACGTCGACCTCGCATGCCAGCGTGAAACGAGCGGGGAGATCTCGGCAATGCTGCATCATCTACTGGTTCTTGCCTGTCCGCCCTGCCTGCTTGTAATTCGACCGAGCATCCGCCACCGTGCCTGTGGGCACGGAGTGGGCGTGAACCAAGGATTGCAAAAAACCGAAGGATTTTTTGCAATCCTTCGGTTTTTTTTGCAATCCTTCGGTTTTTTTTGCAATCCTTCGGGTTTTTTTGCAATCCTGTTTTTTTTTGCAATCCTGTTTTTTTTTGCAATCCTTCGAACCAGATGAGACCTGGTCGATCAGCAACCCCACCGAGAAACGAGGCGCCGAGCTTCATCCGGTTGTCGTCGAGCCTTGTTCCTTTGCCCCAATCTCTCAGCCTCCGCCCCCGCTCCCGAGGAGTCTCCTGGGGGGGCGGGGCCCAGAGCCGATCCCGCGGTTCCCGTGGGGGTTCCTGGCGTGCCCAGCGTGCCCTCTGGCCGCGTCGCATCTTGTCGCATGACTATTTTTTGGATCCCAGAGGGCCTCAAGACGGCTCAAGAGGACTCCGACTCGCCGAAAGATCGCCCCTAAGACGCCCTAGAGGGTTTGAAAGCTTGTCGGAGTTTTCGCGTGTTCGGCCTCCCTACGCTCCAAGACGGCCCAAGAAGCCCCCAAGATCGCCCCCAGACAACTCAAGAGGCCCCCAACACGGCCCAAGAGGGCCCCAAAACGGCCCAGGTGGCGCACAAGACGGCCCAAGAGGGTCCCAAGACGGCCCCAAGAAAGGCCAAATAATGGGAACACGAACCGGAAAATCTAGCTTTCCGCCCCAAGAGGCCCCCAGGAGTTCCCAAGACGCCCCCAAGATCGCCCAGGAGGCCCCCAAGAGGCCCCCAAGAGGCGCAAAAGAGGGCCCCCAGAAGCCTTGACGGCCTCCCAGATGCCCCCGAGAGGCTACAAGGGGCCCCCAAACTGCTCCCAAGAGGCCACCGAGAGCGCTCCGAAGAGACCCGAAGAAACATCCCTGAGAACTCTGACCCGCAACCAGGGCACGGTGGCGGGATGGGCTGAAGGCCATTGGATCCGCAGCTCCTTGGTCTTGCCGTAGGGGTGCCTGGCGTGCTAAACTCTACCGGTTTGATTCTGGTTCTTTTTCCTCAAGAAATCTCCCCTGGAGCTTCGGCGCGTCCCGCCGGCCACCGGGACGACCTGGTTGCCAAACATTTCCCTGTCCAGATTGCTCCAAGATGGCCCTCAATGGCTTCCAAGATGGCCAAGATGGCCTTCACGTTCGCCCAATATGGCGGTCCAAGATGGCCTCCAAGACGGCCAAAGAGGGTCCGAGATGCCTCCGAGTCCGCCCAAGGGGCCACCCACCAAGACGGCCCAAGATGGCCTCAAGATGGCCCAAGACAGCCCAAGAGGCCCCCAAGAGGCCTCCAAGACGGCCCAAGAGTCCTCCAAGAGGGCCTCCAGGAATGCACGAAGAGGCCCAAACCATTGATTTTCCCAAGGTTTTGGAAGGATTTTGGCATTTGCTTCGTTTTAGCTTTCCGACCGTCCGAGACGGCCCAAGAGGCCCCCAAGATCGCCCCAAGATCGCCCAAGAGGCCCCCAAGGAGCCCCAAGACGGCCCAAGAGGCCTCCAAAACGCCAAGATGGCCTCCGAGACGGCCCTGGAGCACCCCAAGAGGGCTCCAAGTCGGCTCAGAGAGGCCTCCAAGACGGCTTCCGCCGGCGTCAGACGGGCCAGGAGCCCCCCAAGACGGCCCAAGATGGCTCCAAGATGGCCCAAGACGGCACAAAAGGCCTCCAAGAGGTCTCCAAGGCGGCCCAAGAGGCCTCCATGAAGACCTCCAGGAAGACCCAAAGAGGCCAACATCATTG